TATTTTTATAATATTTATGAATGCATGCACATGCAATTATAGATGCGATACTATCAAATCCGCACGTATTGGTAATAACAACTTTTTTTTATCGATAGTTAGAAAGGGACATAGACTACCATTTTGCAGATTTGCGACTCCCATGCGTTTCCTTTCCTGTATGACTTATATCCCAATGATGGACAAGTTATCCCATATGTTTTTCTTTTGTTTGTTTGTAAGTTATTTCTTCAAAGTCTAAAAATCGTATATCGTCCAATATAAATTTTAGAATAAATTTTAATTCAATATTTTCGGAGAATTCTTGGTTTTAAACTTTTTTGATTGATTGAGCATCTATTATTTGATATGTCTCCAATGGTTGCTTTCTTTAATATTAGTCGGAATAATGTGTTCAGTTTCCTTATCGAACTATTATGTCATTCTTTGTGACTGTCATTATTTTTAGCAGAAGAGAAGTCATGTGCCGACATAGCCAATCGTGCTTACCTACAAACGATCTTAAATGAGTCTACAAATTTATCTGCTTTCGGCCGTTCTTTATTATTTAATAAGATATGCTTAATATCTTTCATCTCAGACTCTACGGATGATGAGCTAGATTTATCTCTCTATATTTAAATAGGGATCATTACTCCCGAATATAGTGGATCAAAGAAAGTTTTTAATTTTTGGCTTAATTGCGGAACGTAATATGAACTTGCTATATCACATTTTATTTTTGTTTCTACTAGCGTTTTGCGACACTCTTCAACAAGATTATTAGACCATGATGCAATATTACAATTTGTTATTTCCAAATCAAAATCTTCATCTTGTGTATTATTGTCATTATCTTCATATGTAACAATTTCTTCAATACCTTTTATATGATTCCTTATAAGGATACGAGCAGCTTCCGATAGAGACTCATTTCCATCATTAATTTTCCCAAATCTTCACTGAGAGATAATAAAATAATACTCTTTATTAATTCGACGAAATGAGAAAAGTTCGTCTGCTTCGTTAATAAAGCCATAGCTCGTATATAAAATTTTTTTACTTTTGATTTAATTGTGAAAAGAATTTCCAATAGACACCATATTCATATAATGGTAAATATCAAGCCGTTGAAGCACTTTGGCATTTCTAGAATGTTTCTTGAATTCGTGTAAAGCAGGTTTTTATTTAAGTTAATTTGAGTATTGACGAAATTCACAATCCCAATAATGTATATAAATCGCATATACCATTAGGGGAAAATTTTTTTATCAGTTAAATTAATAAACCATTTCTGGTTAGTTTGTTGTAAAGGGTTATGTGTAGCATAACGAAAATGTTGGCAGAAACAGTGTTATCAACAATATTTGTCGATGATGTTGTTTTTAATTCGATAGGATCAATATTTTAAATGTAATTGTTTCATTGCGATTTACGTAGCCATAGCGAATTTTTTCTATGTAAAGATATAATCTGTTCAGCTGTCCAATAAAGACAAAATAATATAACATTTTTAGACATAATGATCAAAGTAATAGATAACAAATTTATTTAGATTGGTATCACAAAAGACATTCTCAGGTAGATTACTTTCATTTTTTTCAAATCATCCGACTTGTCATAAAATAGGAACAATTTATAACTTGGTAGATAGTAGCTTTATTACTATCACATCCGCAATTTCACAAAAAAAATATAGAGAAGCTATTAACATTTTGCTATCCAACGGTTATCCTCTTGATCTAATTTTCACAGAAATAAAACGCAGATTAAAAAATCTCTCAACTAAGAAATTTAACAAGCCTAATAATAACAATATAACAGATACTAATAATACTAATACTAACATTAAATATTTTGTCATACCATATATAGAATCAATATCTGAGAAAGTTGCTTCAGCAATAAGAAGACCTGACGTAGTGGTAGGATATCGTTGCATTAAAAAATTAAATGACTTCATAAAAGTTCAAAAGGACAAAAATAATTGCCCCACGAATTCTAACGTTATTTACAAATTGAATTGCAACGATTGTGACGCCACATATGTCGGACAGACAAAAAGACAGTTAGGAACGAGACTTAAAGAACATAAAAATAATATTAAATTAGACTCTGCTAGACATTCGGTTATCACGGAACACATTCTAAACGAACAACATACATTTGACTGGGACAATATTAAAATTATGGATCATGAAAAGAATTACCATAAAAGACTAATATCTGAAATGATCCACATTAAAGAACAGAAAAATGGAATTAATTTAAATACAGACACCGAATTGTTAGACAGTAGTTATTTTGACATACTTAAAAATTTGCTGAATCATAATTTAAAAAAACATTGGTAATAAATAAATACATCACGCTCTCTATTTTGACATTTGGTATTCAGACTTCGCAACACACACTTGAAATATCGGGGAAAAGGACTTGTTAAAACGATAATGTAAGTTGAAAGATTTTTTAATTTTCTCTGACATTGATTTAATTCACGTATTATATCCGTAGCATGCTCAAATGTCGCATAACTTGGCATCTCAGACCAATCGCCTTGCATATCTATTGGTCAACAGCGAAGAATCGTTTCAATTTTATATTTTAATATTTAACTAACTTTGTATTTTTAACATCTAACTTTATATTTTAATATTTCATTTTTATGTATTGATAAAGACTGTAGTGCAGTCGAAACGTTTACAATTTATATCGATTCTGTAACGGAATGTTAATTTAATGATTTAACTATTAATAAAAAAATTTTTTTACATCTTATTTATTTGCTCGTTTAGTTGGCCTACTATATATGATTGTTTAATTTTGTTTAATTTATACGAGCCTTTCATTAATTAATTTCAATAAATAATATTTATCTTATTATATGCAATTTCGTCTTTTCGCTGTAATCGACTTTAGGGCATACGTGTACTTTTGACTTAGAATGATCCCAAGATATAAAGTTTTACTGTGGACATTACGTTGCAGAACACCTTGTATATATATATATATATACACATATATATTAGAGTGTAAAATATCTATCTATCTATCTATATATATATATGTATATAATATATACACATACCTATTGATTTATTTAGCAATATGTTTATCTATCGAACTATCTATCATCTATTGATCAACCTATCTATCTATCTATCTATCGATCGATCTATCTATCTCTTCTCTCTTTTCTACATTGCATTCTTTTATATATGTACACGTATATAATAATTTTTTAAAAATAATGTACATTACAAAAGTAAAAATAATTAAATTTATAATCTAATAATATATAAAAATCTTTTATGAATATAATGATTACAAAGTTTTAGTAGATAATTTTTTGTAATAAATAAATTATTTATATGATTTATTCTTATCTAACTACTGCTCTGTTTTGATAATAATAGCATTATTATGTATTAAATCTCTAAAATACTTTTATATAAATCATTTATTCCAAAGAATTATTTACTTTATAATCAATTATAATTATTATAGATAAGCCTGTTTATCCACATACACACACACACAATATATATATGTCTGTGTATGTATAAACAGGTCTATCTATAATAATTATAATTGATTATAAAGTAAATAATTCTTTGTAATGATTTATATAAAAGTATTTTAGAGATTGAATACATAATAATGCTATTATTATCAAAACAGAGCAGTATTTAGATAAGAATAAATCATATAAATCATTTATTTATTACAAAAAATTATCTACTAAAACTTTGTAATCATTATATTTGTCGCGTACGCAAAGTGGGTTTCCCCTTTTTTTTTCTTCGCGTTGACCGCGGACGCCGGTGTCGCTCAGAAAGAGCGCGAAGGACTGAGCAGCTGATTGAGAGGGCGACAAAGAGCGAGCCACCCTTGGATCCGTGAGATTGCCGATCGTGACACGCGTGGTCAGGTAGCACGGAACCGTCGTAGCGAGCACCGGTAGTTTTCAGCGAGACCAAGTATTTGCGATGACAAGAGGACTTTTGGGAGATAACACTCCTAATGCAGTATCACAAATTAGTTTATTTATCGAGGGCACGTTCAGTCTTATAAATCATTTCCGAAATTACTCAACCGATCTGTAGTCGTTCTGATTTTCGGTGTCGCTAACTTTACAGTTTGACGAAGAAGAGAACGCTTAGAGTCGGGGCGTTCTTCGCAGAGGCGCGAGATCTCGACACGAACCTCTTGGAGGAGACGCACGTTTTTTCAAAGAATCACGATTGGCCGGTATTGATTTCCGACCGAGTGAAGGAACCAAAATCACGCGGTCAAAGGATGATGGCTCATACCGATCAATATTGATAACTGCTGTCCTTGCCTCGCTGGCGGGGAATAACAAGTTTGTTTTGAAAAAGCGGGTCTTACCTCTAACGCTTATTTTTACTTACAATTAATTTAACACGAAATTACCATTCAAAATTATTTGTCTGTTTCTCAACATACCGCCCGCCTTGAAATAATAGTTTCGAAAGAAAGATGCGAGTGACTCATGAGGCAGGAAAGGTTTCGAGTAGAATTGAGCGAGGCGTTCGGCACGTCGAGGCGAGACTTGACATCGCTTGTCGGCGCTTTCCGACTGCTCAATATCGATCGGCAGAAGGCACAGTCTACCGATCGGACACTTGTATTCGGACGACGCCGTTTTTACCGTAACAACGCGAACCAATTCGTCGAGACCCGGGTGACACAAACAACGCGGCCGAGCTCCCATTTGCACGGTGGAAGCAGTGGATTGCGAAGCAAAACCAACTGTCCCACCCGAATATTTGGCTTCTCAATATGTCGCCATTTTCCCCGCTGTTGCAGCATGTTAATATAATCGCTTTGCCACAACTTCCAAAAACGCTCGGTGAGCTGCCGAACCAACTGCCATCGAGATAGGCGATTTTCTTTTACTTGTAACAGGGAAGGCTCCGGACTCGAGTTAAAAGCAGCACCAATGAGGAAATGCCCGGGGGTCAGCGGATCGTATGTATCTATCGAGTCGGAGAGCGGTGCTATGGGCCTAGATTTGAGGCATGCTTCGACGTTAAAAGAAGCGTGGAGAACTCCTCGAACGTCAGCGTGTGCGCTCCGACCACCCGGCGAATGTGGTGCTTCACGCTTCGTACACCGGCCTCCCATAGGCCGCCAAAATGAGGGGCTGAGGGAGGCAGAAAATGCCACTCAACATTGTCCAAAGCTGTCCTGTTCAAAAACACGGGATCGCGAAGAGCCGCTCTAAACGCGACCGTGAGTTCGCGATCCGCTCCGACGAAGGTGGTCCCGTTATCGGCGTACACCGCCGTCGGAAGACCCCGTCGAGCCACGAATCGCGAATAGGCCCCCAAAAATGCCGGAGTGGCGTACCCCTCGACCAACTTCAAATGTACTGCGCGCGTTGCCATACACACGAATATGGCGATGTAGGCCTTTCGGGAGGCCACTCCGCGCCCAGACATCGCTCGAACTAGTATCGGGCCGGCATAATCCATTCCGCAGTGAATGAATGCGCGCGCGGGAGGAGAGACTCTGAATTGCGGGAGGTTCCCCATAAGCTGTGTCGGGACGGCAGCTCGCTCGCGAGTGCACGCGACACACCGATGGATGACCGATCTGACCGCACCGCGAGCTCGGATCACCCAGTACCTTCGCCGCAGCGTAGCTAGAGTAAGCTGGATGCCGACATGGAGATATCGCCTGTGAATATCCTGTATGAGGAGCTGGACGAGAGGATGGGACGCGAGAACGATCGGATGTTTGACGTGAGCCGGGATGGGCGCCCGCGACAACCGCCCACCCACACGAATTATTTGATCTTCGTCCAAATACGGCGCGAGAGGCAACAGTACGCTTTTCGACGAGAGCGCGTCTCCCCTTCGAAGCGCGGTCAGCTCGCGCGCGAATAGCTCCGCTTGAATGGTTTTTACCCAAAAGTTCGTCGCGCGTTGAATTTCGTGAACCGTCAAGGATGAGGGACTCTCGATGCGCCCAGCCGGCAAAGTAATACGTCCGCGAGTACGCGAGATAAATCGCATAACGTAGGCGGTAATGCGCATTAGCTTCGGCCACGACGAGTGGCGCGCGGCTAGGTCCCACAAAACAGGGTCTCTCGGCATTGCGACGAGAACCTGCGTCTTTACATTTTGTTCCATTGAGGTCTCAGGGTGAGGGTCGACAGTCACCGGCCAGTCGGAGATCGGAAGCCTAAGCCACAATGGACCATGCCACCACAACGGATGGGATGCGAGCTGATGCCCGGAATTCTGCGAGACGCACAGTCGGCGGGGTTGTCGATGGTAGGCACGTGTCGCCACGAAGCGGAGGGAAGTCGGGTCTGGGTTTCCGCGACGCGATTTGCCACGAACGTTCGCCACCTTGACGGATGTTGCGTAACCCACGCAAGGACGACCGTGGAGTTCGTCCAGCAGTAACACGGAACCTCGAAAAGGTGGAGGGACGTGATCACGAACTCCATTAATCTGGAGAGCAGCACCGCTGCTGCGAGCTCCAACCGCGGAATGCTCAGTGACTTAACGGGCGCGACCCTAGACTTTCCGACGAGGAGCATCGAGGAGACCTCTCCGGAGATCGAAAGAAGCCTCAGATAAACCATACGCCTGAGAGGACGCGTCCGCGAACCCGTGCAGCTCGCAGGCCGTCGTATCCGATCCGCGTCGAACCCATCGATCGAGCTGAAGGCCATCAAGGGACAGGAGCGACGCCCGAATAACTTCCCACTCATCAGCGAGATCGGTGGGAAATTGGTCATCCCAGTCGAGCTGTGATTGCCACAGTCGCTGAAGAAAGATTTTTACCGTTATTGTGACCGGAGCACTCCACCCCAACGGGTCGAATATTCGCGCGATATTCGAGAGAATCGATCTCTTCGTTATCGAGACAGAGGGAGGGCAGGAAATGCGGAACTGAAACACGTCCTGAGCGGGGTGCCAGCATATCCCGAGGACTTTAACCTTTTCGCCTGGTTGAAGGTCCTTGCTGCAGGCTAAACCGTGATCGCTGTCATCAATGTCGCTCAGAAGAGCCGACGAGTTACTGGACCACTTGCGCAAATTGAATTGGCCGCAGCGCAGCAGTGAGCATACTTGATCGCGCGCCTGCCGAAGCAGAGGGATATCTTCGGCGCCGAACAAGACGTCGTCAACATAAATGTTATCCGTCAGGACGGACACGGCTAACGGATAGGAATGCTCTTCATCGCGGACCAGTTGGCGCAGCACTCGTAACGCCAAAAACGGCGCCGACGCCATACCGTACGTCACGGTCAAGAGCTTATAATCTTGCATGCGCTCCGTCTCGGTATCCACCCATAATATGCGTTGATAATCTGTGTCACGCGGATCAACGACGATCTGCCTATACATTTTCTCGACATCGGCCGAGTATACGTAGCGAAACTGTCGCCATCGCATCACGACTGCCGCCAAGTCCGTTTGTAGTTTCGGTCCTGGAAGCAAATTATCATTAAGCGATTTCCCGCTTGACGTTAGACTCGACGCATTGAATACCACGCGCAAGTGTGTGGTCGCACTACCGTCGCGAAAGACGGGATGGTGAGGAATATACACGCACTGAAAGAATTCTGAGAGAGGTGAGGCTTTTCGCATGTGTCCCAGAGCTTCGTATTCCCGCATGAAATTGAAATATTGTTGTTTTAGCTCGGCGTTAATTTCAAAGCGTCGAAGTAAGCTTTTTAGACATCGCTCAGCGGTATCGCGAGAACGACCGATATTAATGGGAGGATCACGTTTAAATGGAAGGCGCACAATGTATCGGCCGTCGGAACAACGCGAATGAGTGGTCATGAAGAAATCCTTACATCGTTGTTTCTCCGGGCCGAGTACAGTCTGTCGCGGAACTTCCTCGATCTCCCAAAATCTTCTCAGTTCGCGATCGAGCGCAAGCGACGTTGAGGCCAAACAATGTTGAACAGTGATTGTTCGGCGGGATTGAATTGACACACTCGTAGGGCCGGATACTGCCCATCCAAAAATGGTATTTAATGCATAGGGCTGCCCGCGAGGTCCCTTTCGCATTTCGCCAAGGAATATCTCGCCATAGATATCGGCGCCGATGAGGAGCTCAATGGGATCAGAACCTTTGAAGTGAGGATCTGCTAGAGCGAAATCCGCGAGATGATTCCAGTTGCATCTGGCTCGATCGAGCCCCGAATTGTAATCAGCGAGTGAAGGCAAAATCGACGCAGTGATTGTGAGACTCAGCTCAGATTTATTTTGCGGCGAGATCGTAATTTGAGTTGCAAACTTGCAGTTACCCGCTTTAAGACCGCAGATGGCAGAGAGTGAAAACTGATCTTGAAAACGACGCAGTCTTAAGGTTTGCGCAAGCCGAGCGGACATGAAGGTTATCTCCGATCCCGGATCGAGCTACGCTCGCACGTTCGCGTCGCGACCCGCCGGTGAACGAACCGTGACTCGCGCCGTCGCAAGGAGTACCGGAGTTCGATGCGATAATTCTTGCGAAGCAAACAACGCCACCGCGCCGCGATTACCTCTCGCTTCGACCGGCGGAGTTACAAGAATATGTAATAAAAAATATAGGATTACATCTAAGAAATTTAAGGTAACCTTATTCTGACCTTGGTAACACTGTCCAAGGTCAAACTGATCAGATCAATAAATAGATTTTTTATAACTTTTGTCTAAAACTTTTTTCTGTAAAACGTATACTTTTCGAGATTTTTCAGTGTTCCGATCTTTTTGGGATACTCTGTATATATATATATATATATGTGTGTGTGTGTGTGTGTGTGTGTGTGCGCGCGCGCGCGTGTGTGTATATATATTTATATATATATATAGATTATATTCTTATTCAATATTTATGGAGTTCAATTGTTATAAATTTTTTTTACATTATATACATATTTTCTAAAGTAACAATTTCTGAAATATAAAGCAGTCTCTTGCTTATTTTAAATAGTTGCTAGTAGTAGAAATATTATAGTAATAATAAGTAGTAGTTACAATAGTACAATAGTAATACTAATAGTTATAAAGTTGCAGTAGTGACAAAAAAAAGAAAAACGATTTGCATGTGCGTTCTGGTTATTAAAAAAAGATATTTTATATCAGAGACGATTTATTCGTCTGTTAGTTGCTTTAAAAATATCTTCTCCCAGAACGATTTGCATGTGCGTTCTGGTTATTAAAAAAAGATATTTTATATCAGAGACGATTTATTCGTCTGTTAGTTGCTTTAAAAATATCTTCTCCTAGAACGAATTGCATGTGCGTTCTGGTTATTAAAAAAAGATATTTTATATCAGAGACGATTTATTCGTCTGTTAGTTGCTTTAAAAATATCTTCTCCCAGAACGAATTGCATGTGCGTTCTGGTTATTAAAAAAAGATATTTTATATCAGAGACGATTTATTCGTCTGTTAGTTGCTTCTAAAATATCTTTTCCCAGAACGATTTGCATGTGCGTTCTGGAAGATATTTTATGCCAGACTTATTTATTCGTAAACTGCTTTTTTACATCAGATACGGTTTATGTATCCTCTGCTTATTGTTAGTATAAAAATAAAACATTTATATTGAAACTTTATTGTATAATATAATATAGTTTGAATAAGATATAGATTTATAAACAAGAGACTGCATTTATTTTTCAAAAATTTTTTGATAATTATATAATAATTGATACATTTAATTTTTTTAACAATATTTTAACATTATTTTTTTTTGCAGGCGACGGATGCTGAAGAAAGAGAGACAAGAGGAAAATGACTCCAGGTATAGCACATTTAAGGATACTAACAATGAATCCATTGATAATCAGAAATCGGCGGAATTGCTATCTGATACAATAAATTTAAAAGTTAGTATCCAATCGTTAGTACCCGCGATGCAATGCCTGGAGTCAAATTCAAATACAGGTACGTGTAGTAAAAATGTCGAACTTTGCGAAGATAACAATCATTTTGTTAGGGCGTCGCATTGTCGACTTTTCTCATATGTGGAATGAACTTCAGAGTTCATTCAATAATCATATGAAAGAAATAGAGTGCCAATTTAAAGATTGGAAACTCATAAAAACTAAAACCGAAGGCTAAGAGGAAAATGATTCTAGGAATAGCACATATAAGAATACTAGCAATGAATCCATCGATTTTCAAAAATTGGTGGAATTCTCTGATACGATGGATTCAAAAGTTAGTATTCAAAAAGTGCAATGCTTAGAGTCAATTTCAAAAACAGATATGTGTAATGAAAATGACGAACTTTGCGAAGATAACAATCATTTTGTTATCAAGAATAGCCCTCTGGATATAAATAATATCCAGAAAAGCATGCCTCAAGGGCGTCGCATTGTCAATTTTTCTCATATGTGGAATGAACTCCAGAGATCATTCAATAATCATATGAAAAAAATAGAGTGCCAATTTAAAGATTGGCAAGTCATAAAAACTAAAACCGAAGGCCAAGAGGAAAATGACTCTAGGAATAGCACATATAAGAATACTAGCAATGAATCCATCGATTTTCAAAAATCGGTGGAATTGGATTTCAATACAATAGATTCTAAAGTTAGTACTCAAAAAGTGCAATGCCTGGAGTCAATTTCTGAAACAGATATTTGTAATGAAGATATCGAACTTTGCGAAGATGATTATTTTGTTATCGAGAAAGGCTCTCTGGATATAAATCGTATCCAGGAAAGCTTGCCTGAAGGCCGTCGCATTGTCGACTTTTCTCATGTATGGAAAGAACTCCAGAGAGTATTCAATAATAATATAAAAAGAATAGAGTGCCAATTTAAAGATTGGAAACTCATAAAAACTAAAACCGAAAAGTTTAAGACGCATTTTACTTTCAAATGCCAAATGTGCAATACTGAAGCCGAATTCTGGTCAGAACCCAAAGATCCGAAAATATTAAGTATTGATATGGCTGCTGCAATAGGAACTATTACAGTGGGAATTGGCTATGTCCAATTGGAAGAGCTGTGTGCAGCTATGAATATTCAATGTATGTCCGATAAAAGTTATATTCAAAATCGAGATATGTTAGTAGACGAGTTTGAGAAAACAGCCATGGAAAATATGAAAATGGCTGGCCAAACTGAAAAGCAACTGGCTCTCGAAAGGAACGATGTTATAAACGGTATTCCGTACATAACTGTAATAGCTGATGGTAGTTGGAGTAAAAGATTGTACGGCCACGCCTACAATTCTCTTTCCGGTGTTGGTACTTTAATTGGTTACCACACGAAAAAAGTTCTTTTTATCGGTATCCGCAATAAATATTGTACGATATGCGATGTAGCGGAACGAAACGGAATTGAACCAAAAAACCATAAATGCTATAGAAATTTCGATCGTAACGCAAGCTCCACAAGTATGGAGAGCGACGCCATTGCAGAAGGCTTTAAAAGTAGCCTGGAAATGCATGGATTAATTTTTAGAACAGTTATTGCCGATGGCGATAGCAGCGTCTATCAGGCCATCATTGATAGCAGACCATATCGGGAACAAATGGTGACCGTGAAAAAAATAGAATGCACCAATCATTTGCTTCGCAATCTATGCAAAAAGCTGCAGGCGGTAGCAGGGACAACTCAGCCGACTAAATGCATAGAAAGCGCGGTTTTGTCCAGCTACAAAATGTTGTAAAGAACAACATTATGAACATACGAACAAAAGTGATAGAAGCAATTGATTTACGAAATAAACAAGAGCAACCTCACCATGATAAAGCTAGAGAATTACAAAAAGATATATTAAACATATTATATCTTGGCCGTGCCCAAGTAAAAAATTTGGTGCCTTGTGCACAGGTATTTAATTCTAACGAAAAAATTTAGTTTCGTTTAGAATAACGCACTGTCATCCGCGATTTGGCTCTTATTGCCTATCTTATATATGTTAAATTTATATTTATATTACAGAGCCTAGTTAAACTCTTAATTTATACACGCTGGCTTAAAGGCGTTTATTTACCAACATTAATATATATAACAGAGAAAAGTATAGAATCGAAAGGATCTGAATAGCTCAGTTGGAAGAGCAGTCGCCCGGCAAGCGAAAGGTCTCGGGTTCGATTCCCGATTCTGCGACTTTCGGATCTATATTTTTCTCTCGCACTTTATTTCTTTAGGGGGAATAGGAGATACATGGAATTAAAAATCTCTTGTAGAGATTATTCCAATTTTATATCTTGGCCGTGCCCAAGTAAAAAATTTGGTGCCTTGTGCACAGGTATTTAATTCTAACGAAAAAATTTAGTTTCGTTTAGAATAACGCACTGTCATCCGCGATTTGGCTCTTATTGCCTATCTTATATATGTTAAATTTATATTTATATTAAACATTCCTTTTTTTTTTTTTTTTTGTGACGCTGGGGAAACCGTCATGGTACCACACACCCCCGGGTAGGAGTGTGGGTTATGTGGGACTCCTTGTTCCCCTTGGTCGAGCCACGAATGGTTCGACCAGGGGGCCCAAGACCTACCTCACTAAAACCTCAGCGGGTGTCCATCTCGGGCGTTGGATAGGGGACGGCGAGGATGCTGGAATCCCATGCCGTCCCGCCGCCCCCCCCGCCAAGCCATCTCCGGGGAGCTGCCTTAGCCTTGCGGCCAAGACCCCTCCCCGACCGCGCAGTCAATGACTGCGCGGTTCCGTCCTGGTTGCGGCGCAGGGCGACACCGATCCCACACCGCGCCCTCCCAAAGAGTTTGGGGGCGGGGCTATGGCTCGAGAACTCCCGCTCGAGCCATCGCCCCCCGCCCCCCCGGTGGTCGCGACCCCCGGACCCCCTAGAGGGTGACCCGGTTCGGCGTTCCACCAGGGGAGCCCTCACCAGAGGGCTCCTCTTTGAAGGAGAGGAACCCCCTTCCGTGGACGGCGTTGCCCTCCCGCCGGTGCCTCCTGGCTCCCGGCGAGAGGGCCCCGCGCGTCACGTCCTCACAGAGGGGGACCCAGGCGCCCCGGCCTGACAGACAGCGCCTACCCGCCGGGGACGCGTGGCTCCCCCTCGGCCCCCCCAGCCGCGTCCCCCCCCCCGCTCCTCTGAGAGCAAGTGATCGGCCGCGGCCGGAGGGGTTTGCCCTAGCCGGGCACATAGGGCGCCCCCCCATAGTGGGGTGACGCGCCCACGCGCCCGGCCCGCGTGAGGCTCCCGGGGGGAGGGCCCTTGGGACTTAGTTGTCCCCGCCCCTTCCCGGAACCCTTATCTCGCGTCAATTATTGACGCGGGTATGTTTGGGACAAACCCCCCCCCCGATCCACGCCGCCACGAACGGGCAAGCCCATCGGCGGCGCGGAAAGAGAGGGCCCGGCCCCTCCTTTCATGGGTGCGTTCCTCCTTTGGAAGTCGTACCCCCCCCCCGGTC